ACCAACATGTCCCCTGGTTACCCAATAAACCCACTTTAGAAATGTGGAGTCAAAGTGATGTCCACGCATTCCCTTTGAAGCAATCAAAGGAAACTCTTCTGGTGAAAGAAAGAGGCCAACAGATGGCAACCCCTCATCATTGTCCACTGGCCATAAGCCGACTCTCCGAGATTCATCAAGGACTATCGGTGTGGTGCGAAAGTTCAAGAATCGTGCTGATTCACTTCCATAACTTGAAAAGAGGATTACTCGCGCTTTGATATGTGCCCAGTCTTCGTTGGCGATCTTCTTAAATGTCCCCGTCCAGAGCTCTTGATCGCGATAGGTGTCCTGTGCCTCATCAACTACAAGGACGGAATTGGGGTTCTTGATATCCCATCCATACTTTTCCACCCTTTCATGGAAGTAATTTACTTGATCTTTCCAGCCCGAGACAAACATAACTTCAGCGTCTGGTTCTTGATTCTGGATATAATTTATAAGGAGCTCCGCTAGCACTGATTTACCACTACCGGGCGTCCCTGAAACCTATAACCATTTGTGAGAGAGAGAATGCCCATCATTTTTGACGATGCTTACTAGAACAAATCTATACTTTTGTAACCTCAAGTATAGACTGCGTACTGTTTTCGGTCGTTCATAATAATTGGCTATATCACTATTAGCCATACCCATTTACAGTTGTAATATAGGAAGAACATGCCCCTCAATTTGCGCTTCATAACTTGTCCACCTGCTTTGGATTCATCGAGTTCTTGCAGTTTTAAATCCTTTGAGTATGGTGCCCCCCAAAAGCACAATGACGACATACCTCCATAGTTGGCAAGTGATCCTGCATATGGGCCTCTCAAAGGTTCTTGAACAAGTATATGAATACATGAATCATCTGCCCAGCTCGCCAATTCGGGAGTGAGCTCTGCGAATGGATGAAGTATTGTGACTCGCGCTTGAACCTCCTTGAGTTCTTTATGGTCGATGTGGATTTCATCTAGCATCCTTTGTACGTCGCCTAGATTTGCATGAGGAAGTTTGAAGTTAATCTTCCATAATATCAGCTGGTTGGCATTATAGGTGGTCCTGCCTGGGGGAGCCATTTGAGCGAAAACCATTGCTCTGAGTCTAGCAACATCAAAATTCGTCCCAGTATCTGAGGGTATATAGACATTGAACATGTGTAATGCGTTGAGTCTGTTGCCTTCTGAGAAGGAGAGACAGCGGAGGGTGATAGAAGAGTTGGTCGGGTCCATTGTGCACTCAGTCTTTGTGGTCACGACCACTCTTATTTCGTCAACTTATGCCTTTAACAGTTAAGTACTTTAAAGGTTGGTAAGCTGGAATATATTAGATAACTTGTATACATTAATAACAGAAGTCGCGCAATAAGTACATAGAGCGCAGCAGGGCTAAGAGGGTCAAGTCTTTGAAACACCTGATTAGATCACAAGAAGAAGCTGAACGTATCGTAGAACATAAAACACGAGTATATTCGCAGTGATGCGTTCTCACGCGTCCACCCAAACGGGTAAGTATGGATCATGTTGC